AATCGTTTGATTTACATAAAGTTTGGTACGAAGAAAATTCATTCCTTAAATTAACAAAGAATAAATGTTTCTACCGGGAAGTGGATCTCGAACAACTGCTCTATTCGAAAAATCGAATTTAATTTAAAGTCGTTTGATTTGCATGAAATTTGGCAAATAGGTAGCTCTTGCTCTGAATTGATATTGGGAATACTTTATATACCGAGAAGTAGACCTCGCACCGATCTGTTCGGAAAATTTGTATTTATGATTTGATTTTCATAAAATTTGTTGTAGTAAATAACAATTCGGAAGATATTTTCTTGTGGGAAGTTCGGCTTTGCTAATAATAAAATTAATAATGTAATAAACCAAATAAATCTTATTAGACTACCTTAAAATACCATGCAGATAAACTTTGGTATACAATAAAAAAAATTGATTTTTTGAAGCTATGAAACCCATTTTTTTTTCATAAGTTCTGGGCAATTTTTAACGATACAAATAAACTAATTATGTATTTCAAAAAAAACAAAAAGGAAACTTTTTTCATTTTCAAAGAAATTTTTAGCACCATTTTATATGAGAAACAATGCATAGTTGGTATGAGATGTTTTTTTTTTTTTTTTTGTATTTGCAACACTAAATCTAAAGAATTTCTTACCTCAAATCTAAATCTAATTCCGTCAAAAAAAAAAAAACAACTGTTACAATAAGAGCTCAAGCAAAACATGTGTTTATTATACCAAATTCCTTTGGTGGCATTCGCTAATCGTAATCTAACTGATAAGATTACTGGCATATAACTACATATCTGTTTAATTGTAAGCACTTTGAATATATTTTTTTCTTTCTATTCTATTTTTCGCACATTTCCCTTCATATTTGCAGTTCATTCATTGGTTGTTTTGCTATTTGCACTTCATTTCCGCTTAGTTGCTATTTTTTCATTCACTATCGTAGACAATTTTGTATGTATGTATGGCTATCTACTATGTAGTAGCAGTTGTTATTGTTTTTCACTATATTTTCGTTGTTTATCTGACGCCCGCCCGGCTTTACGGTACTTAAAGCGATTCGATATCGCGCATTTGCAAAACAAGTATTTAAATATTTGTTGGTATGTATATTTGTGTGAATATTAATTTTTTTTGTACGCATTGGTGTTTTATTACGATTGCGCTCGTTGACTTGTTTTGTAATTTTTTTTTTTTTTTGTTGACATTCTGACAATTTTCTTGAATGGCGACAATGGCACGGTTTTTCGATTCTTCTCCCCACACGACTCGCTCTCTTTATTTTCGCCTTTTACGTGTGTAGTATCTCACGTCAAAATAAAGTAATTGCCTCTGCTGCTGCTAACGCAACACCCACAAATCGATGCCCTGATTGCCGCCGTCGTCGTCAGCGTTCATTGGGCAAAGTTTATTTCATTCATTTCTACTGCGCCATCTTATCAATGGGCTTAGGCTGTCAGTGGTGCTTGGCAATGGTTTGTATTTTATTTTTTTTTTTTTTTGCACTTTGGAATTTATTGAATTGATTATTTTATTTTATTTTTTGTTTTAGTTGATAAATCCAAAATTTCGTAGATTGCGCGTAAGATAAAATTGCTCGTATTTATTGTACATATTTTTGTAGTGTGTTTGTAATACAGGGTTTTTCAATAAAAGGTGTTATTTTGATATTCTAATAAAAATTGAATAATTAATAATGGAAAACAATATCAAAAAATGGCTCGGTTTACGGGACTGCATCCTTTTTATGAAGTTGTTAAATCACAAGATCTCGGTGATCTTCGAGAGATAACATGGCCGAAAACTTTTCCCTGTCCGAATGTCCATCCAATTTTGGCCGTAAAAAATTCATTAATCATCTCTCGTTAACGGAATCCATTCACCGCAACTGTTGCTCCAGCCTCAAATAGTCACAGGTTGAGGATGGACGGACTTCTCAACAACAAATCTTGAGTCTTCCGTACCCCAGCTGCGACAGATTGATGTAGCCATCTAAGCAGAAGTTAATCTAATTAGTCAAGATGATTTATTCATGAAGTTCAGGATCATTTTTCTGCATTTCAAGGACCCACAACAAAACGACGTTGTTGATAATCAGCCGGCTTGAGCTCTTGTGTTAACTGAACTTTATAAGCCTTAACACTACGAGATATATTGGATTTTATTCGGCTCGTACGACAGGCATGCCTTACGACGGGTGAATTCGTGAGCTCCTAACCCGCAGGTTCTTCCGACAAGGTGCTTCACGACGACCGAAGAAATGTTCTAGTTTTACGAACCGTCTTTGCCAGGTTTTCACCATTTTGATATTGAATTATAATCATTTCAATGTGATGTTGAAGCGTGCATCGTTCCATTTTTGTTACTGCCGTAGTTTTTACTTGTTAAATGTCATAAAATTACAGTTTTAAAAGTGACATATGTGTACCGGAATAGCAGGCTATTCAAAATAACAACTCTTATTGGGAAACCCTTTATATGAATTTAAACATACTTATGTATGTACATATTATTTATGAGCATAAACTATTATAGTTTATTTTTTTTTCCTACAATACTTCCAAAAGATTATACATATCGTCCTAATAAAAGGAACTCAGCTCGTAAATTTGTTGCTCTTTTACGCTTCGCCGTCGCTGTCGTAAAATTAATGGCACTTCCGTTCGCCGTGCAGGTATTACGTTGAACGCCACGCGCTGAAACACCAGAGGCACCTTCTATACATACATATTTACTTCCCTAGGTGGTACATATTCATTCATGTGGATATATTCTTATTTTATACTTTGCGTGTTCTTCGACCTTTGCCACAACATATATGTACGGTGGAATTATTATAATTTGTTTTTTCTTTTTCTTTTTTTCTTTTTTACTTTCTGCTTATGTAAGTAAGTCATGCGTCGTGTATGTATGTATGTATAAGTAGTATTTCGCAAATACTTCTCCTGTTGTGCTCATTCCCTTTATACGTCGTTCGTTCTCGTTCGATGAATGACTTTGACTTTCCGCTAAAACAACAAAAACAACAACAACAACATCGTCGTCATGCCTTTATTTGCGAGTGATGTGCCAACGCGGCATCTCCATCGTCAACGCCATGAATGGCAGGAAGTCACGTTTTCGCTTCCTCTGCTTGCGGCATTTTCTTATGTTTTTTTTTTTTCAATAATTCGTTTGTTACTTTTTTTCTGTCCAAGGGGTTCCTCCTTTGCCTTGTCACATTGATATTTCATAAACTAAATGTAGTATGTACATATATATGTACATAAATACATTGACTTTAAGGGTATGCCATATGTATGGACATGTGCGCGTAATAATATGTACATATATACACAACTACACAACAACAATAGCACACCCGTGATTACATATTGCCTTTGAGGGTTTTTGTTCCGCAATAATTTGCTGGCATCACTATTTATGTATGCCTATAACTTACCAATATATGTATGTATATGTGTGTATGGATGTAGCTTTGGGCACTTGGCCAAAAATGTTGGTCATACCACGAGGCACTGCCATATTCATTCATTGATTTCTCTAAAAGTTCGTGTTTAATATTTATTTAGCATTTAATGAGCGATAAGTCAGCCAAGCCGACCAAGCAGCCAGGTAGGCAGGCAGGCAGGCACGTCAAGGTCGTAAGGCGTGGTGGAATTCGATTTCATTGGCCATTGATGATATGGTCATGCCATGGTGTGGCGTGAGTAAGTGCCTTTGCTCTGGCATATACACATACATGCATACTTAATATAAACGAATGTGTTCTATTTACTATTGAGGTGAATATTGAAACTAACAATTAACTTGGTATTCTACACACAAATAATGTATAACAGATTGATAATGAAAATTATTGAAATCGGAAGACTATACCATCGATTCCTTCAGGAGTAAGGCTTTGGTTAGAGCTCCGTCGAAAAAAGCATCAAAAAGCATGAAATTTGATCCCATGGTTAGATTAGATTGTGGTGGCTATCAATTTTTCTTGTCGGATTCACTTAGATCTGACGCAGACCCATTGTGATGCGACAAAAATTTGATCATCAGGCTTCATTATCCAGTCATTTTGATTATTTAATGATCAATGACTTTGACGTCGGTCATAGACCATCCAGAAATAGGCTCCCAAATTCCGAAACCTAACCCTGCTCAAAGCATGATAGTCGCATAGGAAATGGGTGATCGTTTCCTCCCTTTAAAATGGTCATGCAAGTTAAAAAGGTTTTGGCTCTTACTTCTTGTTTGATCCCTAATGTCTCGTTCTCTTCTGACAGCTTGTTAGCAGCCAGTCTTGCCCCGGCAGTTGCATAATTTCATTGGCCGTTTGACCGATTAGAACGAAATCGGACACCAAAATTTTCGTAACGAAATCGAGCAAACCTCTCCTGGGTCCCACGTTCGCTTACAATATTCTTACCCTTAACCACACACATTTTTCGCCCCCCTTTTTAAAGCTTTATAATGAAAAAGCAACCCAAAAAGTGTTCTTTTTCCGAGTAGTAACGATTTATAGAGCGCCCCCCCCCCCTTGGAGGAGTAAATTGAAGTCTCCAGGGTGTTTTGCAAACTCCACAAATTGTTTTGATTAGCGGGTATGCGTCCTTAGGATCCTTACTAGTATAACAATGGGCCCGTTTGATACCCTAAGCGATTCGATGCCGGGCAACCACTTAAACCAAACAGCCAACCAACGATTTTAAGATCTCCATGTAAAATATTGCGATAGCTTTCAAAACAACAACAAACTTGACTATTAATCAAATTTCTGGAAATAGTACGATAAAAGATCAATGAATGTTTTAGATTGAATTTAATCACGGATGTTTAAATGAAAATGTTTAAAAAATCCCCATTCTCTTTATAGTAAAAAAATACAGCAACAAAACGAGTCGCAAATTCAATATTATATCTATTATATTTTTCTGTATTATATTTACAGGCGTTTGCTTCTTCTAATTAAATTAATTAAAACTAAATTTCTGTCTTTCATCTTTTTAGGAGAAGCTAAAAACCTGAGCAGTCGCAATGCCGCCAACACAAGCTGCAGCACACAAGGCGTGCGAGATGTATACTGCACGATCGCGCTTGATCAGGAGGAGATCTGTCGAACACCAACCATCGAACGCACTTTGGCGCCATTTTTTGGCGAGGAATATCAATTCAAAATACCGCGACGCTTCCGTTATCTTTCCATATATGTATGGGATCGCGATCGGCACATGAAACAGGACAAGCCGATTGGTAAGATAGCGATCAAACGCGAAGAGCTGCATATGTACAATCACAAGGATAATTGGTTTGCTTTGCGACCGGTCGATTCGGACTCCGAGGTGCAGGGTATGGCTCATATTGAGGTGCAATACGAAGAGGTGCAACCGCCAGTGCGTGGACAACGTATCAATTTAATACGGCCCATCGAATATGATCCCAGTGATATCATTGAGGATATTAGCCATCATCATCAACATCAAGCCCATCAAAATGACTACAAAGAGAATAGTGAGCTGAGTAATATACAACGTGGTTCGCTTAAAAGTCGCAGTCTCTTTGGCACCGATAACGAACATACGGCGAATTGGAAAAATGTGTTAGCCGTGCGACATTCACGAATTGCTGTTCGTTGTTTGGAATGTGTCGATTTGGCTAAAAAGAATGGCACTTGTGATCCATATGTTATATTTACAGCGACCTATACGAATAAGCGACAAGTGACGAGACGCACAAAAGTGCGTGAAAAAACTGTTAATCCTGAATTTGATGAGACAGTGTACTTTGATCTCTGCATCGATGCTGATAATGCCACAACAAAGTCGTTATGTACACATCATGACGCCAGTACAACGAACTCTAATAAAGGCTATACGATTTATCCGTTCGGTGGTGCTAATCTTTGTGAGATTTCCATTGCTTTATGGCACAATTCGGCAGGTATGGCTGATAAGGTGTTCCTTGGTGAAGTGAAAATACCCATTTTAAACAACAAGCAACTACATCAGTCCGCTTGGTATTTCCTCCAACCCCGCTCAGCCAGCTCATTGAATCGCTCGATATCGTCAACGCCGCGCTCCTGTGCGACCCCACCTGGTACACGTCTCAGCTGTGACAGCACGATTGGCACACTGCGCCTAAAACTACTCTATACCGCCGATCATGTCTTCCCGCTTGCAACGTACGATGATCTAATGAACCTGCTATTGGAGTCGGTCGATCAGCGTCCGATAACAGTGTCCGCCGTCTCCATATTGGGCGAATTGGTGTCGTGCAAGACGGATATGGCGCAACCATTAGTGCGACTATTCACACACAAAGGCCGCATAGCGTCGATTATCAAGGCGTTGGCCGATTATGAGATTTCCAATCTAACCGATCCGACGACGATTTTTCGTGGCAACACATTGGTTTCCAAAATGATGGACGAAGCTATGCGACTGTCTGGCTTACCTTATCTGCATCAGACGTTACGGCCAGTGTTGGCGCAGATATTGAGTGAGAAGAAACCTTGTGAAATAGATCCGTCCAAAGTAAAGGACCGTTCAGCTGTCGATACAAATTTAAATCACCTGCAGGCTTATGTGGAACGTGTATTCGATGCAATTACACAGAGTGCGGTGCGTTGCCCGAAAGTGCTATGTCAGATATTTCATGATCTACGCGAATGTGCTGGCCGGCATTTTCCACGTAATCATGAAGTACGCTACTCAGTGGTATCCGGTTTCATATTTCTACGTTTTTTCGCGCCTGCCATACTTGGTCCAAAGTTGTTTGATTTGACGTCAGAACCGTTGGTAAGTACATACATAAATGCATACACACATACATACATATGTACGTATGGAAATTCGTATAACAAAGTTTATGTTATTAATGAATAATTCTTTATCTTATCTTTTGTATATATATTTTATATAGGATCACCAAACAAATCGTACACTAACACTGATTTCAAAAACGATACAATCGCTTGGGAATTTGGTGAGTTCACGCTCTTCACAGCAGCCGAACAAAGAAGAATACACCGGCCAGCTGTATAAGCGTTTTTACACGGATAAGCATGTGGCTGCGGTAAAACACTTTTTGGAGGTGATTTCGACGCCCGGTGAAGATTGCCGAATGCAAGGAGATGCAGACAATATTTTGTTGCCAGTTGTGTGCCCTGCTGATGGTACACTCGAACCAGTATTACTTAAAGAGGGGTAAGCGCGATGCAATTTTATAATAATTACATATACATACATACATATATAATATTATGAAATATGGTCTATTGCTGCCAGTGTACTAATATAAACATATACCTGTTTTCGCTTTATTCTTTCATCTTTGGGTAAAAAAAAAATAAAAACACATTGCACCACTACCACTACCATAAAAACGCGATCAACGCAAAATTATTTGCTAACTTGTATCATAAATTCATGTGAAATGTCTTGAAAACATAACTAATACATGTACTAACATAGCGATGGGTAAGAATTCATTAATGTTGAGAATATTTGGATGATTTATTATATTTTGCTTTAAGTGCCTTTGTTTTCCTCAAATTCCTTTGCATGTTTTTTATATCTTTCATGTACATAAAATGGTATATTGAGTTTGGTCCGAAGTTTGTCAGTACCTGAAGGGGATAGATGGATAGATCAATATATATACGGAACCGGTCGATGTGGCGAATCGAGTTGATTTAGCCATGTCCGTCTGACCGTCTGTTTGTACGCTAGTACAACTGAACTTGGTTCACAGATTATTTAGTACATTTATACAATCATTTGATGGAAACCGTCCCAACATGGTGCCATCTAACTTTATAAACTAAAACATTTTTCGGTCGTCGTGAAGCACCTAGTCGGACCGCAATACAGAAGTTGGTGGAAAGAATGGAGCTGTTGAGACAAATTAGTGATGTGAAGTATAAAACACGTGCACGTCACTCTAGAACAACTGAGTATATTAAATGTTGAATGAATCCCAGATTTGTCCATTCCTCGTCCCTCTTCAGAATTTTGCATTCCACAAACACGATTACACCGTATTTTGCCTAAAGACTTGGTCATATAAAATTCAGTTAACACAAGAACTCAAGCAAGAACAACACCGCGTCCTTGCTGATTGGGTCCTTGAAATGCATGAGAATGATCTGCGATTTCTTCCAAAAATCATTTTGACTTCCAAAAATGATCTTTACTGATAAGGCCCATTTCCACCTCTATGGCTACGTCAATAAGCAAAACTGGCGTATCTCAAAATAACGCCTCCTTTTGGAAAACCTTTAATACTCATAGCTGTATCATATAGTCCTCATACAACCGATTTATTCAAAAATGTGGTTGGGGGTCAGAAATTCGTTCAAAATAGCATCTACAAGCGTGAGATTAGGTATTCTGCGCACGATTGCACAAATAAACATTGTCACCAAAAATTATCGAAATCGGAGGACTAAACCTATGTACAGATAGCCTACTCCAGTAAATTTAAAATAAATATGAAAAATATTATTTAAACTTAAAATGAAATACCATAAATTTTATATGGTCATGAAAGGTGTAAAGACTTCGGCCGGATCGAAGACAGCTCTTTTTTCTTGTTATTTCATTTAATTATATATATTTTTATAAACTTTGCTTTTGTGTTCTAAATTTTTTTATTTACAATAAAAATATATATTCAATATCATTCATTTTTTTTTGTTTTTACTAATATATAATTCTTCATTTTGTTCATTTGTTAGCTTTATTTTTAATTCAATTCTTAAATTTTATACAGTAATATTCTTTTACTTACGCCATTCATGCGCACATGCACATATTCAAATTATGCCATTAACCTTAAGTTCACCTACACTTTTGCACATACAGAATGATGACGAAATATCCACAAGGCCGTAAACGTTTCGGGCGTAGACGTTTCAAACAACGTTACTTTCGTCTGACAACGAAAACTCTCAGCTATGCCAAATCGAAGGGCAAACAACCCATCTGTGATATACCATTGTCGGAGATTGAGCGTGTCGAGCAGTTGAACGAGAAAAGTTTTAAAATGCAAAACTGTTTTAAGGTGAGTGGCATTTACTCGTATACATATATATACAACAAATGTGCAAATATAAAAAAAGAAGACACCAAATTGTACCCACATCGAGAGCCCACTGATATTTGATTACATAATATACATACATACATACATACATAAAGATACATAACACCTATTTGCCATGCTGTAATTACGCGTAATTGCCAAGCCATTTATAGTTGACAATGTCACAACACCGTTGCTATTACTTTAGTTAGGTGTTTGTCTGCTTGCGCTAACAACACGTCGACTTAAAACAGTTTTCAAATTCCAAATAGCACTTCAACAGTGACTTGTGCCAAACCACTTTACCATGGCGCATAAAGTTTCGCACTCAATCGTGGGCGTCATACATGCATACTCATAATAGCTGTTGTAATATTCATTGATTAATCCATGCATCTATGGTTATGAGTTATTATTTGTTGACAATATCGGCGGTTGACGTTTTTCTCCTTTGTTTATTCTTAGGCTACAGCCTCTTTGGTGGCTTACGAGGGTCGTTTAGTTGATGAAAAAAGTAATAATATTTTAGCTTCATCTCATTTCATGTATAAGAATATCAAAAATATTGGATAATTAAAAAAATCTCTGCGGTTTTAGTCAATAGATAGTGTGGACAATCTTATTTCGAGCAACACTAATTGAATTGTGCCAAACCAACACCAGTTTGAAGGCTGACATTTTAACCAAAATTTTTCGTGACAAAATTTTTGTAAATCTTTCCTCTTTAAAAGAGAATGCAAAGTTATTTGGTTTTGAAAATTTGTAAAATTTCCGAAAAAATTTCCTTATGTGATGGTTTTTTACTATAAAAAAGTGACAAGCATTGCAAAAAGTATCGAGAACTTTGTATGGTGAACACCAAGTGAACGCAAAACCCAGGAATGGTTTGCTCGATTTCTTACCAGAAATTTTAAAGTCGAAGTTGCACCTCGTGCTAGCCGACCAGTCACTCGAAAAGCCGATGAAAATCTCAACTGGTGAAGTAAGACCGGCATGAAAACTGTCGGAAGATAGCGGAGGCATTAGACATCCCCCTCGTGACAGTTTGGAATCATTTAAAATATACTGACAACTCAAAAATGCTTTACGTTTGGGATTCATATTGAATAAACGTATTATCATGAGTGAAGGATCACAAAGAAATGTATGTTCAGTTTATGTTTGGATTCGAAGAAAAGTGTCCATTATGAGTTGCTACAACCTTTCGAAACGGCCAATTCTGAGCTCTACTATCAGCATTTAGCCAGCTTGCAACAAGCTCTTTTCTCTAGACAGGCTGCGTTTCATCATGAATACCCCAAACCATATAGGTACATCAATGCAAATAATGACGGAGCAGTCTTGCTACACAAACCATATAGCGCGGACCTTGCACCATGAGAGGACTATTCCTTTAGGCCTCTTCAAAAACTCTTTTGCTGGTTAAAAAATATTCGAACGAAGAGACGCTGAAAATCATTTCTTAACTGATAAACTAAAGAAGTTCTATAAGAATGCGATTCTGAAGCGAAAAGTAATGGATATAATGGTCTATATGATTTTTTTTTTTTTTTTTTTTTTTTTTTGCAATAAAGAAAATTTTAGACCATCAGTATTTCTTAGGTCAATTTTGATTGAAAAATAAAGACTCAAATAACGCCTTAGCGCGACCTAAATGCTCTCTTGTTAAAACAGAAATGCTAAGGGCTTTTGAACGATTTGATTTGCTCATGGCGGATGGCACGACAATGAAAAGCGGAGAGCTTTTGACCATTTTTACAAAAAAAAAGTTGACGTACAATTCTGTCAATCAATTTCTGTAACACACAAATTCTACAGAAATTCTGTTTCGAAAATGAAATCTACATCGTCATATCAGTAATCCAATTGAGTATCCCCTATGCAGAATTCTGTCGTTGTCAATTTTGATTCAGACAACAATCTGTTTCTGAAACTCCTCTGATTACGTTAGAAATTCTTTATATTATTAAATTAAAAAAACGAATTAACATATTTAGATATGACAAAAATGTGGCCTGTAGAATTTGTAGGTGTTACATTGGGCGTAAAATATGTTCTACTTCTTGTAATGAATTATTTTTCTTAATAAATATAAAATAGAGACTTAGGTGCGCCTGTCTCAAAAGAAGCAAATCTTGAATAGAAAACCCACATAACGAATATTTTCTTTCTATTTTATCATATACACGAGTAGAGTATCGAACATTTATGTACATACATACAGTGCATACCTAAATGAAACGGAAAATACCTTTATAGAGCTTTTTTTTAAGTTTTTTTTTTTTATATAAATTCAGCACTTTCTATTACATGCATATGCATACGTATATATATGTACGTAAGTGTGTGTAAGTATGTACTTTTTATAATTGTATGGTTGATGGTGGTAAATGTAATATGAAATGGAAATAAAATTACACGCAATATTTTTGCGTAAACTCGCATTTTCCCTTAATTACCCACGATTTCACCCATTTTCAGCTCTCAAACAATACATTGCAGCTAGTAGCTCTATCTCTATATCTTATCCATCCAGCCATCCATCCATCCATTCATTCATACGGTCGGGCGGTGTTTGGTACGTTTTTACTTTTCTTCAAATGAAATGAAGATTTACATAAATTCTTTGCTATAATTAAAAATGTGCATTGTTTCGCGTGATTCCCACACGTTTGTTACGTTGTTGTGAACATAATTTCTGTGCTGATTGTTGTAAGTACGTCTACATGTATACAGATACATAGACAAATACCTATATAAATTATGGGTTGTAATATAATCTGCATAAAATAGTAAAAAAAAAAATATGAAAAAAACTATTTTAATGCATTCAATGCCTACAGTAGGCCACCCCGCTTACATATATTGTATGTAGGTAGACGTAGTTATATTAATAAATGTATTTATTTATGTTAGCGCGCCTCTTCATTACTCCACTATGCCACTGTGGCACGGTAGGTACCAACACCAACACCAATCAACACTACAACACTACACGCAGCGAAATCAACACTTGGCCCCACCGCATAGGGGGTTTGTTAGTTTTGTACACGAATTATGTTGCACATTGTGTTGTGTGGTGTGTGTGTGTGTGTGTGTGTTAGCCATTGGTGTGCGATAAATATTTAAGTAGAATTGTTTTTGCAATAGTTATTGCAACAACAATAGAAAATATGCAACATAATGAGCATCGCGTTTCACACGAAACTAATTCAATAGTGTTATTAATGTTTACACTGCTATTGTGTAGAAATCGTAAAAAGAAGAAAGAAAAATGTAAAATGTGAAAAATAAAATAAAATCATAATAAAGCGCGCAGGTTTTGTCAGCAAGAAAATACGATACTCAGTTAGCTTCTTCCCTTTTATAAATATGCTTATGTTCACATTCACTTACTTACAACTGCCTTATGTAGGTTTCCGCGCTTAAGCACTTTCCCTAGCGCAAATAACTTTCATTGAAAAACTAATTTTTTTTTTTTTTTTTTTNTTTTTTTTTTTTGTTACAGTGTTAATGTCTTATTCAAGGATCTAAAAATATAAATAAAATTAATTAAAATAAACTGGTAATTAAATAAAAACGAAAAATCAGTTGTGCAAAGAAATTTTGAGTTAAAAGAGTTGTTAAAGAGAATAGCATGACATTAATAATGGCAAACAATATTTGCCAAATGGCCGCCACAACTACGCTTACAAGACAAATGAAATTTTTCCTCACCAAATCGCATGGTCAAACGTCGGTGGCCCTCCACGGCTTCAAATACTTAATTTACAGCAAAGAAATTTATGCTGAGTTTATGGCCGATTTTGTTCAACAAATTAGTCTTGTAGCAAATTTATTTATTTACAATAATTATTATTTATATGTTCGATAAGTGGTTGCTGAGATATGAATGTTTAAATTCAAAAGTATTGTTTTGTTTTGTATTCCAAAAAGTATATATTCTGCACAAATCATCATAGAGAAATATTAAAAGCCTCTCCATACTTAACGTGTGACTGCTTGGTGCGATTTATGATCCGGCGAAGTCATTCGATATTACTTTTTCTAAAATGAATGGATTTAACTGTTGGATGGTATTGAGCGGGACAACAAAACCATCTATTTTTGAGGGGAAAAGTTTCCGGAACGTGTTATCTCTCAAAGATGTAATCGCAATTGGCCACCGAGATCTTGTGATTTAATAACTTCCTCTGGAGCCAAGTGAAAGATAAGGTCTACGGCAACAGACCAATGTCGGCTCAAGATCTCAAAGTCCTGTAAGCGTAGCCGTGTCGTCCGTTTGGCTAATATTGTTTTCCATTACTACTGGCATTTTATCCTCTTTATTATTATTATTATTATTATTATTATTATTATTATTTTTTTTTTTTTTTTTTTTTTTTTTTTTTTTTTGGAATATAAAAACACCACTTACTCGAAAATACTTCGCAAATTCGTTTCGATAATTTCATTTCAACTTTTGGATACTAGCGATGCAACAGTCAAAAACGTAACTATACATACATACGTATGTATATATATGTATTGATGTGCATATTTTATTAATGAAACCAAGGACATGATTGTTGACACATTATTAGTCCCAGTGCTCGTTCGCACATTATTATTATACGCCTTTGTTTGCCAACGACACATAAAGTAGTAACACATCAATTAGCTATAAGCATGTCAGCATCCCAAGATTGTGCCACATACGGAGACAAATGGCTATAGCGAAATCGCTGGCATTGTGAACTATAATACTTACATATATATATATGTATAAGTTAGACGCTGTAAAGATAGAGCTTGAACATTCTAGATGTCAAAAGTTAAGTTCGATTCTATTATATATGTATATACATACACATATTCTTACACATTTATTCCTTGCTTATATCTTTATTCGTTCCTTTTAAAAACTATTATTATTATTTAACTAATATCTCTGTTTTTTTTTCTAATTTTTCCCTTACAGATCATACGCAAAGAACGTTCACTCATTATACAGGCAACGAATTGTGTGGAGGAGCGCGAATGGATCGATTTGTTGCACAAAATCTGCCTTACGAATTCCATCCGCCTGCAGTATTTTCATCCGTCCGCCTTTGTGAACGGCATCTACAGTTGTTGTTCGCGCTCGGACGAGAATGCGCCCGGTTGTCGCACTGTCTCCCCGGAAGCGATCAACTACTTTCAAATGGATCTTGTTACATCACTAGATCCAGCACTTGATCTACAACGAATACACACATTGATTATGTCGCATATGACGCAACTGGAAGCGCCACTCGATCCAATTAGTTTCCATCATTTATCGCAGGGTCACAATCCACTTGGACCCACAGTGTTGGCATTGCAACAACATTCACCAATCGCATATGCTGAATTTCAGACGACAATAGAACAGTTGCGCAAAGTGGCATACGCCATCGATCGTGATCATCTCAATTATAAGACAGGCATAGCATGCGAATTAAAGTATGGTAGTCGGCAGGCGCCGATTGGTGATGATAATTACCTGCATCACTTCAGTTTGGCGCAACATCAACATCAGCAACAACAACATCAACATCAGCAACAACAACAGCAGCAGCAGCAAAGCCAACATCAACAGCAGCACCAACAACAGGTATTGCTGCATACACAGCAGCAACAACAACAACAGCAGCAGCAGCTGCAGCAGGCACCGCAAATTTTGCCACAAATGCAACATGTGCGTGCTTATCCGTATCACCTTAAATAGCTGGCGAAATGAGCGGCGTAGGCGTATGGGGATACACACATACGAGTACAATACATACATATTTAGTTTTAATGTACATTTATGGGTAGTTGATATGTGTAAGTAAATAAGAAAAGCGAAAGCGCTTAATCAGAGCTATACATGGCATGTTATATGTACCTAAATATAATTGAAAAGCAATAGGTACTTACTTACCCATTAAATTTATTTATCAATGTAAAAATGGCAGCTAAAAGTGGGCGTGACGAGCCGTGGTGCGGCTACGCCCCTTCTTCTACATTCGACTATTGTAGCTAATGTAGTGAGGCGTCTGATAATCATCGTAATATTTAGTGCTGCGCTAGTATCTATAATAAATATATATATATACATATGTATATGTGTATTACCACCCTCTCTTCCCAAAAAAAAAAATTAAAAATATAAAATTAAAAGAAATCCAAGCAACAAATACTACAAGCAAAAGTTCAAATTCTTTATAAACAAAATAAAAACCGTTATGTTCTAAATATTTTTTATATATATACATAATAATTGTGCGTAAATCTATTTAACAACAAAACTTACTTTATGCGAATTAAAAATAATATACTAAGAAAGAAAAACAACAAAAAAAACAAAATCGTATTTGCATTCGTATACGCATGCGTATGAACGTATGAGACTATTTATTTTATACAACGCTATTATATATAAATACAAACATACATATATACCTACTTATTATGATTATTATTATTTTTATAATTATTACATATTGTTAAATAATATAATTGTATACAAAATTTTAAGTGCATAGTTAAGCAAACGTTTATCTACGAGCGTTAGTTCTAAATTAAACGCTTTGTAGTGTGTATATAGTATTTAGTACATAAATATATTTATATTATACATGTACTACTTATATGAGTACGATTTAGTGTAAAAACAAAAAGAAAACTTCTTATACCAACTAACAAAACTGGCTTAACACACATTTTGCGTCTCATTTCACAGAGGCCCAAGGTGTCAAAGTTAAAACTTGTAAGAAATGAACTCCAATTTACTGCATTATATGCATCATGCTCTAAGCTACAAAACATATTTGAATTAGTAAATGGACTTTTGTATTTTAAACTATTGCAAATAAGGAGAAAAGCAGTAAGCAAAATGTAACTATTGCATAAGTAAAATTATATTTAGTTTATAAGTACTATGAAAACGTCTACGTCTAGGGAATTTGTGAAAAAAACGAGAATTACTTGCTAGTGGATGCAGTATATATTTAAATAATAGAGCAACTCAAACAACATATTGAAATCGGCAAATAAGCTTTAGTTTAGGTAAGCAAAATCAAAAAAAAAAAAAAATGAAATTAGAGTTTTTGTAGAGATTCCTTATTAGCAAAGTATGGCCTTGAAATATTTTCCAATGAATTGTAACCAAAATAATAGAAATCTTCATATTTGTTATTTTCTTTATTTTTTTTAGGCTTACCTTTTTGCTGCGGAATATGTTTATTAGAACTATGAATTGTTATTGGCTAGAAGCAAAATCTTTTCTTTTTTTTCTTATTATATTGATAAGCAAATTTTTACGCATTTGTTTAAGTGCTTAGAGACTGATGATTACAAGCACCAATGAACGCCATTTGAAGTAAAAAAAAAATCTATAATTTTTGAGTAGCCTATTTGTAGAAAATATATAAACAGCATGTGAAAATATATAAATCTTATTTAGCATATATTCCATATATTGCATTTTGTTTATATAAATTTCTAAATCACAACCGCAAAAATTTTTTCATTATAAAATTTGCTATAAAAAAAACCCACACCGTCTGAGATTTTTCATCTCATGAGTAATTAATTTTGTTTTTTCATTAAAAAATATTTAATTTACATACAAATATACATATTTATTTTTGTTATTACATAACCATATTTGCACACTTTGTTGTTTGCAATGAAACTATCTACTTATACCTTGTCTTTTGCAGTTGCTTCGCGAAAATATTGACTGTCTTCCCATATATATGTCTTCTTATTGAAATTATTTGTCTTTCTATACAACGAATTAAATTGTTTTCGTTTTATTATTATTTTTTTTTTATTTAATCAAAAGCATTCCAATTCATGCTCTGTACTATTTTCATAGAATTTGAGTTTCTCATTTTTGTTTGCATTCAGTTTTATTTAAGTTAATTGAAAACTGATTTTTTCTTAATTGCTTTAAGGTTGTAAATATACAAACAAACATACATACGATACATCTTACATATGTGTACGTACATATAAGCATACATACATACATAAACTTGTATACAATATCGCATTTATTAATAGAAGAAACAACGATTACATACATACACACATGCATAAATTCATACAAACATACATACGTAGTATAACGCACATAATAAATGATGAAAAAAGTAATATGGCGCCATACATTAAAGCGTATATAATATATAATTTTATTTAACTACTTTAAGTTATACATTTAAACGTTTCAACACTTATCCGTTTCATCATAGTAAACATTAAGGTACTTACTTTATTTCATTATATACGAATTAGTTAATTTTTATCTAAAACATTTTCAGTTTATGTAAATTATTATCGTTACAACGCGAGTAAGCATAATTTGCTACATACTATTATAACTTTAATTATAATTAAATATTCATTATTAATTATTATTAATTATTATTATTATTATTATTATTATTATTGAAACTATGTTTGTATTAATTTAAAAAAAATATGTTTAAGTTTGTAATCGGTACAAAAATTTTTTAATTAAAGAAACTTCCAACTTGGCATTTATGACTAGTAAAAAGAAATTTGCGTTTTTGTTTTTCATTTTAAAGAGTTTTTTTTAGCGTTTTTATTTTGGTTAGACTTTAGTGTCCAATAAAGATTATCAGTTAAAATCTCTTAACAATTACCAACTTAACCTTTTGATATGCGTTTCCCGTGTTTTTTTTTTCAATTTTTTTTTAACTGTAACTACGACGAATCCTTTTTACCTGATTAATCAAACGAGAAATTCCTGCTTTAACCAAAAATTAATAATATTTTTTTAATTTATTAAAATTTTTTTTATTTATTTAAAATTCAAATCGAACAAGTTACGTTTTGTTAAAAAAAAAATTAATAAAAGAAAATAAGTCTTTAACAGGCAGATTATTAAATTATATTAATCTTTAAAGTTTTTCTTTGATGATTAAAATTAACAGAGCTCCCAATTATACACTCAACTAATTAATTGATTAACCCCAATCCTTTACTCATCATTTCACTTATCAAAAACAAATTGTTTACATAATAATAAGTGTTAAAGCACAAAAAAAAACTACTTTGAGCAAAGCAATTTATTTGTGGTAATCGTTTAGTGAATGTACTAGAACTTTAATAAATAAGCCTTCCTTACAAATGAAATATATATATATATATATATACATACATACATATAATGTAATAAATATTTGCGTAACAATCGATAAGCGGTGGAACCAGATAAACTATTTCTAAAAGTAGCAGCAAAAAACTAGATGAAAATATATATGTCAAATGTGTTTGATTATTTATTTGAAAAATTAGTTTAAAGGTAAGTGAAAAAATATAGATAAATCAAAACTCTACAAAACTACCAGAAATGGAGTCAACAGGTACCTAAACGGGTTTAGGTCATAGTCGCCCATGCACTACTTACACTGAAAAATCTATGCTAGGTCGTAGTTATGCAATATCTGCACATCGTGAAGGGAGTACCGGATCAGCGTATAGGACGTTTTACCGACAGGCACTCTCGTGAGTTGCGTGCTTTGTTTTCCACCAGTTATACTGTTTGAGCAATATCTGCACATCGTGCAGGGAGTACCGGTTCAGCGTATGAGACGTTTTACCGACAGACACTCTCGTGAGTGGCGTGCTTGGTTGCCCACCACCACCTATGCCAGAACAAGCTCTGGCTGTCTTGCAAAACCTGAGTAATACTGGCACAATTAAAATCTGGACTCAAGTCAACTTATGTAGACTTGACTCCGTCATACCTAACGCGTGTGCAATGTGCTCGGAAACTACCCTAACCACATCTGTCGTGCTTACCCTCTAAAACCAACTTAATGGGTTACACATACGGATTATTGATTTGCGTATCGATTTCATTTTCGAAACTGATTTTGTATCGATTTTGTGTATTACAGAAACTGATTTAAGTGGTTTAAGTGTCTGAACTAACTTCTTTGCAAGCAAAAATTTAAAAAAAGGGCGAATTTATAGGTGAAGTTCAGCCATCATATAATTGTTTGTTATTATTTCTATCTCGCCAAACACAAATAAAATACATTAGACGAAGTTCTCCTTTGAAATGTTGACCTCTTCCAGTAGGCTTCGCTAGTACCTACCTATAACTATGCCTTTCTTTTGACATACCTCACTTTTGTCTATAACGCATATAAAAACATTTGATGCCTGGGTGAGCAATATCCTTGTGATTTTTAAATTTTAAATACTGATCCAAACTTAACGTGTTCTCCTAGCACAGTTGGCAGCTTTGCTTCATTATCAATTGAAGAGCTTTAAGCTTTGGCGATTTGACAGCAAATGTCAAATCACAAATTTATTTGTCAAGCAATTTTATCGCCTTTTGGCAAAACAAAAGAAAACTGCCAGACTGATAGGGTATGTTAGTACGTTTTCCAATTGTTATCATATTTTGCGTTAAAAAATGTAGTGTATATCCTATAAATATGGAGTCTTTATAATATTGTGCTAACAGGTGTCTTAAAAATTAAAAAAAAAAAAAAAATATATATATATATATATATATTGAATGCGTACAAAACGGACAAGTGTAAAGAATTGTCAACAAAGGCAGAGCAGCATCATCCACCCCCACGAAAAATACATAAATGAAAAACTTGCACATAAACAAACAGAACAAAGTCCTTTGCTCGGTGCGGTAATTTTGTTCTGAAACTAAGCCTGTTGGTGTGCACCGCAATAGCACATTTTCACCATGCACACGCGGGGATAACGGAAAGGTGAAAAGTTAATTGAATGATCCACTGGATCTAATTGCCTTGCAACCACTTACGTACACACACACACAGTTATAAACTAAAGTGTGACGTTAAATGAGCTGGAATACTTAACATCACAAGGTTAACAATCGAGAAAAAGTATGGAGTTCGCAGATCTCATTAAAACCCCAAAGCTAGACGGAGTGTTTTTACATGACCATCTGCACGCCAAAGTTGAAGGAACGCTTTGCATTACTGGTCATCATCTGTTATTGAGCGCACGACAGGAAAACAGCCAAGAATTATGGGTAAGTGTCAAGGGGAGTAACAATAATGTATTTTAGATAAAAGTGCAGCGAGCATTCAGATGGAAACGTAATGGGCTCGGGTCAACTTTTTCTATACTTACGTGATTACATATTATCTACTGTCATACCTATGTATCTACATATACCAACTTACCGTTTGAATTTGTGCAGTGAACTCAACTGTTGATTTTAAAATTAGCATTTACAATGTCAACACATTTGACTGAGCATTAGTGGTACACATAAATATGTGTACATATGAATGACCATACATGCATATATCCATTAAAGGTATCCATGGACATTTTAATTTTCTTCTCACACCTTTTACTACTTCTAGCTACTACACAAGAACATCGATTGTGTGGAGAAAAAACCCTACACTGTGCAAAACATGGTGATGGGTGGCATTATAACATTGAAATGCAAAGATTTGCGCATCATTTCACTCGAGATTAAATATGCTAAGGAATACTACAATGTAGCTGCCTCGTTGGAGGCACTCAGCTCTCTACATAATCCCGAACTCGAATATCCTTTTTTCTATCGACCAATGTATACTATTCTCGAGGATGGCTTCACGATGTTCCGGTGAGTGAGAGCTTTACAATTTTATATTAAAATTGAATTTAACAACAACTTTTGTTTTCCTGCAGTCCCGAGTTGGAATTTGCAAAACTAATTTCCGGTGCTGCCTGCAATCAACTGAACGGTAATGAAAATAGTGTTGGTGTGACTAATAATACAACTGGAAGCTGTGAGTGGCGTATAACGACTGTGAATAAGGACTTCAGTGTATGTCCAACATATGGCACAGTACTTATTGTGCCTAAATCTGTAACGGATGAACAAATTGTGCAATCAGCTGCATTCAGGGATGGTGGGCGGTTTCCGGTGCTTAGTTATCGGCATGAGAATGGGGTGAGTAATATGTTTTTTTAGAGGTTAGTATGTTGACAAGTTCATATTTGAAGTAATAATTTTCTACATACGTATGTATGTATTTACATTTGCTCATACAATGTACGTATATGGATGTACATATATGTGAATGGGTATGAACTTTTAGTCGCAGGCAGAGTTTATTATTTAAATTGATATGCACATATTCAAGCAAGAAAGGCTTAAACTTCTTGGTATTCATTGATTATTTATTATATATTTAAAAAAATCCCTTCAAATATTTGTTCAATTGAATTTATATGTATACATATGCCTGTGCATATATGAATGCGACTCTCTATGTCTGATTTGAGGTATCTTAATTAAGAAGCATCTTCTTAAATAAATTAATACCATTTTAAACGTATTAACATTTTTACTAAAATTTTATTATTATTAATATTCATATGCATACATATCTAAATCCGGTACTACTAATATACCTACTTATGTATGTGTACATTTTTAGGCCACCTTAATGCGCAGCGCACAGCCTCTCCCCATTCAAGGCATCAAACGTTGTCGCGCCGACGAAGCGATACTTAACGTTGTGCTGGGTCGTAGTAAAAAAGGATTTATCGTGGATACTTGGGGTAAGGGTAAATCAAACACCGAAACGGATCAGCACTATTCACAATGGAAGAAAGTTAATCGCGCTATCGGCAATATATCCACGCCTTCAGCGATTCTAGACAGTTATGCGAAACTTATTGAAGGTATTTCGTTGCTTTAGATAATTCATAGCATATTCTGTAATAATAAATGTATATGTATATGTACATATGTACGCCTTCCACAGCATGCAATGACACCACTTGTTCGGCGGATAAATGGTTGTCACGTTTGGAAGCCAGCGGCTGGTTAAGCCTCGTACTTAATTCACTTAACGCTGCCTGTGTAGTTGCACAATGCTTGGATCAAGAAGGCAGTCCTGTGTTGGTGCATGGCTCCAAAGGTTTGGATTCCACGCTTATAGTCACCTCCTTAGTGCAGATTATACTTAATCCTGATTGTCGCACAGCACGAGGGTAAGCTGTGCGTAACTAAACTAAAATGCCTCCCTAATTTACACTTAATTATTCCATTCAGCCTACAAGCATTAATTGAACGTGAATGGATACAGGCTGGTCATCCGTTTGCGTCACGCCATCGTTATGCTTGCTATACACCGGCACAGAATCGTCCGAAAAATTCGGGCGCTACATTTGTGCTATTCCTCGATTGTATTTACCAGCTGTACACACAATTTCCGTGTAGTTTTGAGTTTAGTATGCATTTGCTAATATTACTATACGAACACAGCTATTTCTCGCAATACGGCACATTTTTGTGCGATTCGGAACGTGAGCGTCACGAGTTGGGCGTGCAAACGCGCACCACCAGCTTGTGGTCGTACCTAAATCGACCGGATGTATTGAAAAACATGCTGAATCCATTGTATGAACCAAATCCAAGTGTGATATGGCCGAGTGTAGCGCCGATTTCGTTGGAGTTATGGAGTGGTAAGGTGTTTTTTTTTAATTTTTTATATTAAATGTAGTAAGTTTAACATAAATGTGCGTAAATTTACAGAACTGTATCTGCGCTGGACTATTGAGCAGAAGAATAGCTCAAAAATGTTGCAGCAAATACAGGAATTGGTCACTCGGGAAAAAGAGTTGCGTGCGAAAGTAAGTGGATTTTTTTTTGATTAAAAATATATTTATATAAAAAAGAAGAAGCTTTAAACATTTTCTTTTTTTTCACAGGCTATACGCCTACGCAAACAAGCATCGGATCTAAGCAATGAAATGGATGATCTTTTGATTGCCGAATGATTTCCTCGAACACAAAACAAAACAACCGAGCATTTCTTGAATGCCCAAAAAAAAAAAAGAAAAATTTTGATTAAATTCAAAGTTCAAATTTTCACTTTGTTTTCTCTAAGTGTCTCTCTAACTGAAAATAGTCTTTTATTAAGGAATTCGAATAGTTTTCAGACACGTGCGGACACCTGAATGGTGTACACACGTATGCACATGTAAATTGAGTCAATTTTGACGCATTTTTATTGTAATAGGTCGTAAGTTAATATTTAAGCTAATAAATAATGAAAATCCAAATCAAATTCCGCTAGAGGCAGAGTTGATATATTGAAAGAGAACAATAAATTGGTTTGCTAGTGAATGTATATGTGAATGTAAATTTAAATTAAATGCCAATTACTATTTATAACATTTTGAAGCAATGTGAAGTATGACAAAACACACTTAAGACTCTTTGCATTGGTAGTGCGTACGCTGAATTTTGTTATTGACATAAAAGGTTTAAAAAAAAATTAGCTTTTTTTTTGATAAATGAACTTCACGACATCACTGCTATATTATAGTTGAAAAAAATAGTATTTTTAGTTTTACAATTTTCTACTGTTTAAAAATAGAAATTTAAAATTTAAATACTTTCTTATCGCGTCTCAAAATTATTTATCACCTACGTTATTTTTTGCGTTCGAAAAATGGAACCTAAAATCTACGTATAAAAAAGTTACCTTTAAAAGAAACTTATAAAAATATTTTGCATCTAATTTGCAACTTATTCAAACATACACGTGTACATATGTCTTGAAAAGTGCCGAGATGTAGGGATAGCATTAAGCAAAGGCAAAGAGCGCTTTATTTCATAAATTTGCTTATCTACAAGTTTATTATATTAGACCTAAAATTTTATAGGACACAAAAGACAATTTAGATAGTACTGAAATCTCAATAAATGCTTGAACCAAATTTATTGTCTTCAATATAAAAAGCGTGTTTGCTTTAAAAACTCAAAAATAAAAGCTTTCTATTAAAAGGATTTTAAAATAAATAAATTTTAACAAACCATTGCAATTAAATTTTTGTGTTAGTGAATGATTAGCGGCAAAACAAGTCTAGAAATCTATAAACACCTATAGCATAGCATGAATCCTTAGTTAATTCTTACAAAATATCAACACAGTTTTGATTTACGCAACTCTCGTTTCTCTCTTGTAAACAATTTATTTTTCTATTACAATATTTTCTTTGATTTTTCTATTGAAAAAATTGTACAAAATAGTTTGCAACTTAAAAATCTGTAATGCTCTAAATTTATTTAAAAAAAAAAAAACCCATTACAAGACTTGATATTAACCCAAAAAAAAAAAAACCAAAACAAAAATAGAAATCAACACTTATGCTATTCCAACATTTCGCTGGAACGTTGAGCTATGTCGTTTGCGTTGCTTGTGTTTGTTTATGTTTACAAAAATTATGAATGCATATAAAATATGTGTTTGAATAATTTATGTTTTCCGAGTGTAATTGCGTTGTTTTTCAATTTTACATAAGCATTTAATTGCCAGCATCGTCCTCAAGGAAGAAGAATTGACCAGAACGTTTTTGTTCAGTATCCTGTTGAAGAAAAATAGTAATTTTAGTAAATATATATAAAGTAAATATATGTACATATGTAAGCATATGTAAAGCATTGACAGATGCAGACCTTGACGGAGTTATTTTTATTAATGCGCGGTCTGAAATTGTTTGGATCCCTGCGGAAAGTAATGCCCAACAATTCCAAGAATCTATTCATGCCATTTAACAATGATTGGGGTGAGAAAGCCGTGGTTTTCACTGAGGGTTGACCTTCTAGTACGATAACGCGATCCGCTAGGTATGTAGCCATAATGAAATCGTGCTCAACTACAAAGCCAGTACGTTTCGCATGTAGAATAAACCTGTAAAAGTACAAATTAATCTCTGTTGCGAAAATATATCAAAAGCAAATCTTACCGTTTAATGACTTTAGCGGCAACCAAACGTTGTTCAGAATCAAGATAAGCTGAAGGTTCATCGATTAGATACACATCTGCTGGTTTACCTAGACACAAAACCAGAGCAACTCGTTGCAATTCACCACCAGACAAATTTTGCACCTCTTGATCCATGATTTCTTCGATCTTCATTGGTTTCATAACGTCAGCAATGAATTGTGGATGCACGTAGGCATCACGAATTTTATCATGCAGCAAATGGCGCACCAAATTTTGGAATTTCGGTGATATTTTCTGTGGCTTGTAAGATATATTCAATACAGGTAAATCCACCTCCTCGTCAGGTTGCAAATTGCCGGCCAACATTCTAATGAAAGTCGTCTTGCCCGTACCGTTTTCACCCAGGAGCACGAGAATTTCCGAATCGCTGAAGTGACCTTGCTCCACAGACAACTCGAATTTACCTAATGTCTTTTTCATGGCAGGATATATATAATGGTTCATACGTTTAATTTCCTCTTCCGTAGCAGATTCCGAAACCTGAAATCAAATTCATAAACATTATATAAATAATATATATATGTATGCAATTAAAGATTTTACCTTGAAGGTCAACGACTCTGTACGGAAACGCATGTTTTCAGTTGGCACAAAACCATCGAGGAATATGTTAATACCTTCACGCACTGAGAACGGCATAGTAACAACGCCATATACACCGGGTACACCGTAAAGACAACATATGAAGTCAGAAAGATAATCCAAAACTGACAAATCGTGCTCTACCACAATAATAAACCTAGAATAAATTCAGTTTTAAAATTTAAAGCGTTCTATGATTGGCTATGTAATATTTTCTTACTTTGTTGGATGTAGTAAATGTCTAATGGTTAAAGCAGCGTTTAGACGTTGCTTAACATCTAAATATGATGAAGGTTCATCAAACATGAAAATATCACCATCCTGGATGCACACCATTGCAATGGCAAAGCGTTGTAGCTCTCCACCAGACAACTGCGCGATGTCACGATCTCGTATATGTAGCAAATCCAACATTTCACAAATTTTATGTTGATTTTTACGCTCATCCTTTTTATCCAGTAGCTCGGCAACTGCTCCGCGCACCGCTTTTGGAATTTGATCAACATATTGCGGTTTTACCAGCGCTTTTAGATTGTCCTCTAAAATTTTTGTAAAGTAGTTTTGCAATTCTGAGCCACGGAAATAGGCCAAAATTTCCGTCCAGTCTGGTGGATCATTATACCTTCCTAAATTAGGCTTTTGTTTTCCAGCGAGGATCTTTAGAGCTGTCGACTTGCCAATACCGTTTTGGCCAACTAATCCAAGCACTTCTCCAGGTCGAGGAATTGGGAGACGATGGAGTTTGAAGGAATTCTTGCCGTAACGATGGGTTGTGTGCTTTTCCAAATTGCTTGGTACGTTTATGATGGTAATCGCTTCGAATGGACATTTCTGTACAATAAAAAATATTTCATATAGAAGAAATTTAAAACAACTCATTTTTATTTTCTACCTTCACACAAATACCACAACCAATACAAAGTTCCTCCGAAAGTGAAGCAATTTTAGATGTGGGTGTCACCTCAATACACAGCTTTCCCATACGTACGACAGGGCAAGATTTCTTGCATTCCTGACGGCAACGCTTTGGTTTACATTTGTCATCGCTTACTATAGCGATACGTGTCTGTTTATCCGTCTCCTCGTGATCCTTTCTCCGCGACATGCTATTAAAATAGGTGAAATGTTATTTTACTGTTTAAAAAGTGAAAACGTGTTTTCTTCTTGATTAACAATGCACAATGACAACGAAGCAATCTACGGTCGTACGATTGCCCTTCCCCGCAAAACTAAATGAACAACTATTACTACATACGAATTTACACACTCAGCCTTGCTGGCAATGCACTCGGGGTACTCGGACAGACAATCATGGCCAGTGAAAGCATCCAAAATATAACCTCAATTTTATTTAATCTTAACAAACACAATTTTTTTACTTCAAGCAAAATACTTTAAATTCTTTTTAGATAACCTCAAAAACTGTTTAAATAATTTAATTTTGTTTTAATACCTTAAAGATTAAAAATTTACTAAATACGGCGATCCAAACACCTCGCCACGGAAATTTCGAAAAGGAATGTCAGAAGATTAACGTCATTAAAGTAAACTGCCTTACCATCTTGTACTCGTCGTCAATGCAGTTCAATGAGTAGTCTCATATGAGTTATATTGTGACAATTTCAAATTATTAGGAACATAATAAATGTTTTTAATCTAAGAAATCATGTAATTTCTTTTTTGGTTTCTCAAAAAATGCCATAAGAATTGAATTTTTATGTGGATTATAAGTTGTTTGTAGACATCACCTTTGGCTGAAATTTACAAAACACTTTGAAAATGAGTTGTCAAAAATCGATGACGTTTTGACGTCTGACATTACAGTCCATCGTTGCATTTCTTATTTAGTGATTGATCTAAAATTTTAACACGTCGAGATCTTGTTTTTATTACCCAAAATAATGGTTGAAGAAACAACTAACACAGAAAATGTTGAGAAAATCGAAGGGGAGCAAGCTCCTCTACCTACCGAGCCTATTAAAATTTTTACTGTTGAAAGTAAGACAAATATACTTTGCTCGGGAGCAGACATTAACCTAGAAAAAATGCAAATTGCAATTGGAATTTATATTCTTTCAAACTTTCTACAAAACGTTTATTTATTTCTTTCTGCGCTGTAGTACTGCATATGGTGAAAGATGCTCAACAACAGCACGGGTTGCGGCACGGTGATTATCAGCGTTACCGAGGATATTGCACCCGTCGTATTAGACGTCTCCGAAAAGCTTTAAAGTATCCTCAGGGCGATAAACGTCATTTCAAACGACGAGATGTTACATTGGTTCAGTTAACTGGGAAACGTGCAGATGAACGTTTCATACATATTCCATTGATTAGTGCCGAGCGCGCATGGTCGTATGCAATGCAGCTAAAGCAGGAGGCTAATACTGAGCCTAGAAAACGTTTTCATATGATTAACAAGCTACGTAGAGCCTGTTTTTATGCTTTGCAACTACAAGAGCTATGCAATGTAAGTTCCCTTAAATTTTCTATATTTTCTTGAAATTTCATTATTTTTTAACAGTCTGAAGCATTCGACGCCCGTACTAAACTCGAATGTGAAGCTTATGTCGCATGGATGCATGGTTCTTTACACTTTGAACTACAACTCTGGGATAAAGCACTGGATCATTTAAAACGCGCACAAGTCGTTTATGAAAATCTTGCAAAGGCACTGCCTGAAGATGAGCAAGAGCTCTATCATGCTAAGGTGAACGAATTCACGCCTAATTTACGATACTGCGCTTATAACATAGGTGGAGGTGGCGGTACCAACAAAATGGATGATTTGTTGGAATTACGTGCACAGGGATTATTGGAGAATCTAGATATGCTTGTTAGTCAAACAAAAGTGGAAAGTAGTGAAGGGTTGCAAACCATTGAATGGCGTAATCGTAAAGTTACTGTACGTCCAGAAAAAGTGCGTCTATTTTTGTTGAGCATACAAGAAGTTGATAAGTCGTTAGAGAAAACAACTAAAGTCGACTCAAAAATCGAGTTAATTGAACGCATTTTGATGGATTGTAAAGATGCTATACAAGCCGTTAGGGAGGAAATTAAACAAGATCCTAAATTACGTTCGCTTACTACTGGTCAAACCGTGAGTGGTGTGCAATATTTATTGGCTTATTTATCGTACATTCGTCATAGCCGCACTTTGCAACGCAATCTTTGCCTTGTAGAACAAGTAAGTTCAATAAATCAGATAAAAAACGTAAAATATATACTTTTATTTTCGTGAACATATATAATTATAGATTAAATCTAATTTTGATGATCCAAACCAAAAGTCAAACATTATTGGTGAAGGCAAGCGTGTACGCCCTCAGGATCTTGCACGGTTATATGAAATAATTTTACAAAATGTCACTGAAATGCAGCAAATTCAAGGAATGGAAGACGACACGGTTTACCAAGACGAAATGGAAAATCTAGTACTCACCTTTAAGGCATTCCGTTGTTATTACATTGCACTTACACTAATTGATATGAAGAAATGGAAGGAAGCTGTTGCTTTGTACGAACGTTCATCGAAATACGCCAATGAAGCGCTGGCCGGTAAGGCAAGTGATGAGTTCAAATTGACTGACGAATTGAAGAAACTCGTCTCGACCATTGATGGTTGTAAATTCTCAGCACACGCATACAGTGTACTCGAAAATGATACCTCCGAGGATGCAATTTTCCAATCCAAGTCTCAAAAATCCACAAAGCCGCTATACGAACGTTTATCACAATACAAAGAAGACCAATCGCTGCACACTAAAACACCAAATGTGTTCAAGATGACCCCTGAGATGGAGGCGATAGCATGCAAGCCGCTTTTCTTTGATCTGGCTATTGGTCACATTGAATTACCGCCATTAGATGATAAACTGCAAACATCTGGCAATAAAGGCGCTGCATCCATTTCTGGTTTTGTAAAGGGATTTTTGGGTTGGGGTGGAAAGAAATGAATTGCTGCCAACGAAATATTTCAACTACAAAGTAACCATACCATCAGTTTAATTAATTAATTTCAAAATACCAATTTACCATGCATGACAGGCAGTTGGTAGTAATAAGAAAGCAGTGTGGCTAAAGAGAATTTGAAAAATTCATCGGTGTCTTTGGGTGGGACATAGCATGGTAAATGATATGGTGTAATTGGTGGTGCATTTTAAGTGTGAAGGTGATTCCACATACAGCAAATTGTTTTACAGTTGTTTTATTATTATTATTTTTGTATTTCTTCCACTGAGTGAAGTAAACCATAAACTTTTGAAAGTGAATTGTGAATTGAGAAATAAAACATTGATTCTTTTACATATGCAGTATAATAAAAAATATTATGTATCTTTTTATTATATTTCTTTTAATCATTTCTTATTTTTGTAACATCAAAAACAAATTAAATAAAATGAAAGAATAATATAATACTTAAAATCTTTATTTGTATTATCCTGCTTCGCAAAAAATTCGATGATAGCGGATGTGAACTCCGAAAAAATTGCAATTTCTCCGATTTCCTCAATTATTTCAAAAAATTTATAATATTTCTAAACGTCATTTTATTTAATTTGGTCTCAAAATCACATTTTTGACCTACTTAAAGTTACAATTGCATCTAAATTAAACTAATAACTATATCTATTGTATTACGGATGTACATAAATTACTCTATTTCTCTAGCCAGGTACCAAAATAACCGTTTTGATGAAACTCCAACGCAAGATCTTTTATTCTTGTATGATATTCTTCGGTTAACTTTTGTGTTACTTTTATTTTGTTAGCTTTTGGTATCGCTTCACTGATAGCATCTAAATTTGGTATATTATTTGGATCGAATGTTACTGCCGGCAATACCCACATGGAAACGGCTAAGCCATAAAGCGCATGCGCAGAAAATTCTTTAATAATATTTTCCAATGAGAAAGTCTGACGTACGGATGCCATATGCTCATGGGAAACTAATAGTTGCTCCAAGCGCGTGTGTAATGCATAGCGGTAAGTTTCCAGTAAACGATTCGTATGTGCATCACGTAATTCACGTTTCGTGCTAGTAAACATAAAGTGTAAAATATCGAATATGAATGAGGTGTAACGCATCGCCTGCAGTGAATGAACAAAAAATATGATTATACATATCTAATTAATAATGTTATTCCATTATTTCTTTGCACCTGCAAATCAAAGAATTTCACTGCCTTCCTGTCTGTTTGGTTTACGCCATCATCGTCCACATTGGACTTAAACATAATATTATTCACATACAAATCACCATGGCACATCACACTGACGCAGTCACTAGCATTATTAATACTATGCATAATTTTCTGATACAATTCCTCTTTCAACTGCTCAATCATACCAATTGAAACGGAGAGACTGCCATCTACATTTGATTCGCGTAAGCTTTTCAAGGATTCCTCTATTGAGGATGTTAGCAAATTGCCATAAAAACTTTCCGCTTCGGCGCAATAGACTATTTCGTTTACTTTGCAATAACGTTCACGAAAATTACTATCATCCAAATGTTTCGCAGCTATAGATGTGGCATGCAATTTGGCGAGCTCCTGTAAAGTAGAAGAAAAGGTGTTAGCTTTGATCTTGATTGCAAATATGTAGTTACCTTCATCACTATTTCACACTGATACAGATCGAATGGCACCAAACGATTTGGCATGTTATAGCCCTGCAGTTTCAAATCCTCCAGCGCTATCAATTCGCCTTTCTTATCAGTGCCAGCGTAATAGCATTGTGGGAATACTGTATCTCCATTGATGAAATATTTTTCAAGTACTGGTATCACATATGTATAGGCATTTATTTCATTGCAAAACGCTTCGTCGCAGCGAAATAGTAAACGACGAGATTGACTTAAAATTTGCCTTTTGACTATAAAACTAAAATACTGTGCATCTGAAAAGATCAATTAATAGGTTAAACTTTAGTTTTAGAGCTTTAAAATAAAACGAAACGTAAAGTACAATCAAACGAAATACCCGAAAATTTACACCTTATAGAAAAAGCTACTTAAAATCATCAAGGGTCAAGTTTTCATATATATTTTTTTCATTATAAAGTTCTTATTTCGATAAAAAATACGTTAAGAAATTTAATTAGCCTTTTTATACTTCTCAAGTGAAACACTTTTCAACGCCTTATAACGATACGGGTCAGATATTTCAATACTTTTAATTTAACAGTATGAAAAATAACATTTGAATTTGTCAACTACCACATAATAACACACAAAGAAAACCTACTTCAAATAAATCATCACAATTTATCAATGCTAAAAATGCTAAAAAAAAAATTAACCCCCACAACGTGAACATTGATGAACAGCTGATTTTTGTTTACGTATTTCCAAAAAAAAAAATATTTTTTTCGCTAGTGCAAATGACCTTGAAGAGAGAGAGAGATTAGAAAATAAATGTGAGAGTTGTCGCACAAACACTTCAATGGAACTGAATGAGTAGAAAAGAGAATAACAAATTGTTTGTGCTTGATTGCATTCATAAATACATACATACATATAAGAATATGTACGAGTATTGCGCAAGGTCATTGCGATAAAAATGCAAAATTTGCCGATTTATATACAATAGTTTTGAAAAGTTGAATATTACTTGATAAATTATTTCTTTTATCGAAAAAGTCAAACAATTTTCTTTTCACAATATGTACTTACATCCATATGAACATAAGCATATACACATACTTAAGCTTGAGCAAAATAGCTGAAGTCTCTTAGTTTTGTCATTTGTTGTTGTTGTAGCGGCTACGTTAACCCCGCTTAGGGACAGGTTAATATCTCAGTCACCGAGGTCATCTAACGATAGGTCCAGTAAACGTGCTGTTTCGACAGGATCGGACCAGAATGTGAAGGGGGTTAGATGTCGTGCCGAGACTCTCCACATGCAGGGCAAACGTTGGGTATGTTGGGGTCGAGTCGGGATAGGTATGAGTTTAGTCTGCTACAGTATCCAGACCTAAGTTTTGCCTCTAAGTTGTGTCATTTCCTATTGTTGTTATTATTGTCAAAAATATTCCCCAAAGTACATTTTGTGTAAAGTTGCGGTAGTATCAGTCCTTGGCCGGATAAAAATCCGCGACGTTCCGGTACAAAAGCCCGACTGTCGCAAGAACTTTTGAATTTTAGTCACCTCTTACGTCAGGCAAGCCTTACCATTGGAAAATTCTTATACCTCATGCCGTAGGGGTATTTGGACAATTTCTACTTCCTACTTTTTTCGATTATATCCAATGGCAATATTTCTATTTTTTTTAATTTCGACAAGAATTAACTCAGCAACTCAGTGCAGCCATCAACTTCATTCAATGTTTGACGAGAAAGCTCCATGAAAGCTCGCTGTTTATCGATGGTATGGTGTAATCAATGAAGATCGTATCGTGACAGCTGATGAATCGTTGATGTACGAATATGTGCACGAAAGTAAACAGCAGTCAACTGTATTGGTTTCAAGATGAGCTGATTCCAACAAAATAACTTCGAGCACGAAGAACTTCCAAGCCAATGGTTGCCTGTCCTTTTTTTTGAATAATCGTACCACAAGATTAACGAAGCTTTTTAGAGCACTCAAAACATCGATTTGATGCGTCATAGTCAGCGCATAGTCCTAACTTGATACCGAATGACTTCGTTTCATTTCATCAGAACTTCTCACAAGCAAGGTAAATGACGAATGAGACGTCACCATTCGTCCTACTTGGATATGCTTTTATTTCATATCAGATGGCGACCGCAATAACCGGGTAGTTAGTATCGCGTACGGCCAGCGTTGGAGTCCTGGTCCGACCAACATACAAAATTATAGAAAATTAATTTAAATAAAAATTGAGTTAATTTGTCTGATTGTGGTCACCCCTCGGCAGGAAATGTCAGCCCCTCCGAGTGTATTTTTGACATGAAATAAAAAACTGCTCATAAAAAACACAATCAGTCTTTCGGAGGAGAGACGCATACCATCAATTGGAGTAAGAGCTCAGTTAAAAATCACCTCAGCGGTTACAAGTCGCAACTTAGATACAATACCTAAATTTAAGCGCTAACTAGAACGGGATGTGAAGATCGAACATTCGATAACAATTAAATAAAAATTGAGTAATTTTTGCATAATAAAAAGCAAACGTTCTTCCGGAGTAAGACTGTTTAATATAAAATGGCAATCCAAACTGAGTATAAATCAATTAAGAGCTTTCAAAACTCCGATAAAATTATGAAATTATTTTGTATTATTGAAAACCACACGTCTAAAAAAGCACCCTTAGATCTAAATAAGGCAATTTTTGAAAGAGTACACATGCGACAAGTTTTTCAGCCAAAGTTAGTTACACTAAGCTAAGCACTCTTAAAAAACACTTAACAAACAAAAATACTTATTTCACCTGTACGTTCAGAAACGCCACAATCGAATTCATGCGTGCTTACTTCTATACGTTTAACAATCGACATATAATTGTCGCCAATACCGCTGCCAGCCGAACAACGCCAATATTTCATATCGAAAGGTAACACTTTTCTTAACTCAACATATTCGCACAATGTTTCCACATCTTCGTCGTATTCACATACGTCGTCCATTTTCCCACACTCGCACATGTAATGACACTCCACCGGAAGTCCTGCCCAAGGAGCTGTTAATTTAAATTTTATTCACTACCGTCACAAACTGTTGTTTAACGAATGTAAGCGATGCAATCGAACGGTACCTCAGCGATTACTGTCGTTTAAAAGGTTCCATCATGCTGATTATGCTGTCACAGAAGCGCTTATTTCCGCTAAGCGCAGCGGAATGCACAAAAACATGCACGAGCACATACATATGGGCACACTTTAGCACTATTAACACTTTAGGCGAAATGCTGTGGTAGCCAGATTCTAGCTGACCTCATAGTTTCTATAACAACAACAACAACAACAGCAACACCAAAAAAAAATGCACAAAAAATTATGAGAAATTTTCTTTCACGTTTTTCACTCATTTAAGGGCCCACGCTAAGGTGCACTATACCACACCTATGCACGTACGCATGTATGTACTCCAACAGTTGAGGGCACATGTGTTTGCAATTGCTTGAGTAGGCATGTCAGTTTCGGTTGTTGTAACCCAATGACATAATTCCCGCTACACATTTGTTTATCAACAACTCATTTGCAGTAATTGCGCTAAAGCAGCATTCGTTGCACTTCTTTGTAACGGTGTAATTAAGTGAAATTCGAATAATAAAAAAAAAACAATAATTGCTCTAAAGTTATGTTAAAATCGCAAACATTCTGTTTGAGACAAGCGCCGAATAAGAACTAAATCCTCAATCGGCGGATGTGTGTATGACAAACTCGAGCAATGATGCAGTTGCAATCAATGAAATAATAGTTGTTATATATATATATATATGTGTGTTTGTGTAGATGTCTGAGTTTATGTGTGTGTGTGTGTATGTGTATGTGTGCGCGCGTACACTAGACGCCGACGCCGTGAAAGCTGTTGCCGGAGAGGTAAATCACTTGGCGCTAGGCTAAGTAGCCGACCGGTTCACATTTATTTTGTTTAATTATTTCAATGCGTTTTTTCTGTTGCACCTCTCTCTATCTCTCTCTGCCTCTCTATCTCTCTCTCTCTCTGTCTCCCCCTCTCTCTCTTTCTTTGTTCGCCTGTGCAAACATGTGCCATGTGGCAAGAACAAAAAAAAAAAATAGAATAAAATAAAATAATAATAATAAAAAGTACGATAAGCAAAACAACTCTTGAGTGCATAAAGTGTAAATGTATTAGTAAAGCCGGCAACTTAGCAACATAGGCACGACCAGAAGTAAGCCCAAAACAAATGTCAACTAGTTGCAATTGCACATGAAAGCTCAAGGACAACATGACGTATGAGCAATTTTGATTGTCTGCCAATGCCACTTTGGTTGCATTCGTCCGTTTGTATGTATGTAGTCATAATATATGTACATCGGAGCTTCGCTTGTCGGCTTGATTGGGCAACGAAATAACACTATACAACACATTTAAAGAGACTGTGGAGGAGAAATCCAGCTTTAGCAGAGTAAAGTAATAATAATGGAATGCAAATACAACGGTTGCTTGCAACAGCATAAAATAATCAAGACAGATCATACATTCATGCATGCATGTAGCTCTTCCGCTCACTCAGCGACTTCAAAATGCAGTGTCAAAAAATTTAGTTATCCGAATGTAATAAAGTCCTTAGGCGCCAAGGTGAGTTGATATAGGAATTAAAAAGCCATACCGATAATTGGATATTCAGTCCTATTCTGCATTTCGATTAGGTTCCCGCTCCGGCATTCTGAGTTACGCACAACTGTTTAGAAGAAAAAAAGATAATTTAGGTATCAATGTGAATATCTGAACTTGTAACACAATAAAGCAAACAGACACATCCTCGATCAGAGACTTTACAGACGACTCACAGCCCGATGTAAAGGTGAGATACGGAATTTACTCTCCGCTGCTCTCATTAATTGTGAGCGTGAGATTACCAGACCACTGCAGAGCCTTCCAAGTGGATTTCTTTGCAAGCATGGAAGCTGCCGAGTGGCTGCTTAAGTCTATGGCAGCAGGACAATCGGTTATAATATTGTATATTCCGACAGTCAAGCTGTCACAGTACAACGTCACAAGTGGTCATAAAATGTAAAAACTTTTTTAAAAACCTCTCAACTAAATATAGTACTACCGTGATCTGGATACTTGGACACAGTGACATCCCAGGCAGTTGTATGGCAGACGAACTAGCGAGGAAAGGAACCCTTTTACCCGCGATAAAACATGCACACGATGCAGGTTTGCGTCCGTCCACAGAACTGTATGTGCTTAAACTGGCCTTTGGCAGGGATTCAGCCTCAAAATGGCTGAACGAGATCATGTGCAATGTGACCAGACAGCTATGACCGAAGTTGGACTCGAAAAAACCAAAACATTTTATCCTTCTAGATCGGTTCTCCACTTACATAACCACTGCCATAATAATTGGACACTGTTTAATGGGGCTTCATGGAAAATAATGCGTTATTAATCTAATGATTTTTCCACAGTTGTAGGAATGAAGAGCGGCCGCGGTAGCCGAGTAGTTAGCATTTCGTACTGCCATTCGGAAGGCCGAGTGTATTTCTGACTTGAAATAAAGCTCCTCATAAAAAATCGTCAGAAATTCAGAGGCAGCTTAGTATAAACCCTAGGCCCCTCCATTTGTTGGAAAAATATCAGGAGGCAGAACCCACAAATTGGAGGAGTCAATAATTTGAGTTGCGCATCACGTGTACTCTAGATTGATAAAACGCATCCCCAGAGACACCGTACAGTGCGCACTGAAAACGTTATTGCAGAGTATTGAAGATGACCAACCCGCATTGCAATTTGAGGAACCCTCATTATATAGTATTTGCAGAAAAAAGGTCAAATTGGGAAAGTACGAAGAGTCTCAAAGGTTCCGCCGTCTTTCAGAAGGTTTCATGACCGGAGCATTCTTATGAATATAAGATAGTTGCTTTAACCGATCATTTATTTGTTTAACTTAATAGATATCGAGGTAAATTATTTAATGAAATTCATAAAGGAATCGAAGTTGAAGATTACCAAGCTTAGCAACTGGGTATACGTGGTATCAGGGCATTAATCCTCCTACATCTGTAGGCACTCCAACCTATTCTAATCAATATACTTAAGGCAAAGTGAATATCGTGAAAACCCAAATTTAGTAAGTCTCTCATTATGACGGAATTCCGAAGATCGTGCATTCGTTTGCTTCGTGCTGTGGCCTAAATAGTCTGCGTCAATTATCGTGGGATAAGACTCATCCAAACCGTGCATAAGGATCTATAAAATATATTGTGTACAAGACTAAAGCCCATCACACGTTTTAAGTATGGGTGAGTAATCCGAAATAAACAGATGTTCAGAACAGAAGGACCTCCCCGAGCCGTTCGATATAGAATGAGGTTTCATACAGGGCGACAGCGACTAAAGTGTACAGTGGCTACACTGACTATGTCATGTCATCCCTAGGATATACAACACTACATATTTGAAAATTTTCGGTGCAGTACTCGTTTGTGGAAGCCGAGTTAAGTTAATGTGAGTGTTCCGAACGACCAGCCCGCTTTATTGTGCTCATAACCTTCTCATTTCGACTGGACAGTAACAGACAAACAAACTTCTCATCTTCTTCGTCTATGCAGCTCCTACAAAAGTCATTCGAAATAAACCCTTTCTCCTCCGGTGAAGCCTTATTGAGCAGTGTAATATAACCTTTAGCGGAAACAAGGGGAGAAGCTCTTCTTCTTCTTAGTTGGCGTAGACACCACTCATGCGATTATAATCAAGTGAGCTATAACATCAGTGCTTTCTTCTCTCCACAGCTTAGGGCCATCGTAGTTCAGGTTTCATCTTCCTCTGCTTATGCCGGTGAGTACTGCATTGAACGGCATGGACTAGGCAGCATAGCTGCTGTCTCTTCATTCACTGAACTATATAAAAGCCATCGTACAACTCATACAGCTCATCGTTCCATAATCTGCGATATTCCCGGTAGACAATGTACTAAGGAACATGTCGACATCGTTCACGGTACTGCACCAAATAGTAGGACGGGAAGGAAGAGTCACTTGTAGAGTTTGGTTTTTGTATCGTCGAGAGAGGACTTTACTTTTCCTGTTAGCAAGATTTATTCTGCTTTTGATTTCATGGCTGGTCTCTATATAAACGAAATTGTATACGACTTTGAAGTTATGATTGTCAACAGTGACGTGGGAGCGAAACCGTGGATATTTCGTCTTGTTCTCATTCAACCCCCATTCACTTCGCTTCTTTATCAAACTTGGAGTAAGCAATGTCATGGGCGTACGTAAGCAATTGTATGGTCTTGTAAGTTATAGTGCACTGTAGCCTGGTTAGCACTGCAGATTTTTTTGTATTTTCCAGCATCAAATTGAAGAAGTCATTCTGCCTGAAACCTCGTTTGGCACGGCGCGAAGAGGTGCTTTCCAACTGCGTCTATGGTGTTGTCCAGCGCCAGTTTAAACAATAAGCCTTGCAGGAATCCAAGCTCAGACATAGCGACGTAGATGCTGCCGATGAAAAGGTGATATGAATCGATGCTTCTCTTCAAAATCCGATTTATACGTTAATAAAATTTAATAAAATGAGTATTTTAATTTTTGGACCGTTTCTAAATTATTTTAGATATAAGTATGTAACACAATTTTACTCTACTGTGCCTCACCACAATGCCAGCTGCACTTGAAATTCGTATGCATGAGTATCCTTGAGATACTTTAAAATATACACAGTTATTGCACTTGGCTTACTTTTGCTGCCTGTCATAGATTCAAAAAAAAAAAAAAAAAAAGAAATCCGCTGTTCGTTGGTGCAGTTTTTTCTTTCGTTTCCTCCCCCAATTCGATTGATAGATCGTTGGTAGCCGAACATTTAAATACAAGCACCGTTCATACATATGTACATGTAAATATGTGTAGATTTGTCTACAACCGGTCATTCATGCATTTTTTGTTTGCTTTATACAGTTGCTGATAAATTTATTTATATGTATATAGTGTTCGTGCATGTAAATAGGCATTTATTGGTATGCACATATATACAAAGGCACGCAACTAACGTTATGCGCTTAGATAAAATGTTTGCATGTCTGGATTTTTAATGCGCGAGCAAAAGCGAATGCAAATGCAAATGCGAAAATTCAAAACACATACATACATACATGCACATACATAAATAATTGACAAAACAGTTAGATGGACAAACTAGTGTATTTAAATTTACAGGGCTTGACATTTTACGGTTTCGAAAATAACCTTAAAAAATATATATTTGAAAGAATTTTTATTTCATGAAATTTCTTTTGGAAACTTGGCTTTCTATGTACATAAACCGCCTCTCGTTCTTTTGCAAACTTCGATCGGTTTGAGGTAATTTTCGAGTTTTGGCAAATATGGAGCAGCAACTGAGTTATAACTTGACGAATGTCGGTTTTCAAGTGCGCAAGAGTCAAAGGTTTATCGGCATAAGCACGGTCTCTCGCAGGATCCCACAAAAGAAGTACAACGGTGTCAAATCGAATCGAATGATTTCGGTGGCTAATTGACATCTCTAAGACGAGAGAATACGCGGCCGAGAAATTTCTCACTCGATATACGTTTTGTGTGACATGGAGCAGTTTTCTAGTCTAGTTTTTCAATTGCAGGACAAAAAGAGTTGGTTATCATACGAACATATCGCTTCACATTGATGGCGGCAGACT